AAATACTTATGTACTTTTGTGTATGTACAATAAAAGTTTAATAAGAGCAATTCTCTGTGCATACATTTGAAAAAGACGTTTTTGGGTAGGAAATTACGTTTTTCAGACCAAAAGGGACGTTTTTTCATGCCGAAGACCTGGCAACACTGGTTGTGAGTGACCGCGAATGGATTATTTGCATAGTTGAGAGGCTGAAATCGGCAATGCTCGGACTTCTCATATTCGGGTGAGAGGAAATTTCTTTGCTTTTTTCGATCGCTAACGAAAAGCAGCGGAAATTGTTTTGTCGATCGCATTCCGAATGTGAGAGATGATAAATTTGTTTGCATTTTTCACTCGCGATAAAAGAATGCAAAAATTGATTTGGAATATTACACTAGTTTACAAATTTTCAGTTTCAAACAAGCATCTCGATAAAAAAGTGCTTTCTAGCTTAATTTGGGGTCGCTGAAAACGAAAATGACACTCATTTATTTTTCTCAAGAAGCATTTCCGCGATTTCCGCAAAAAACGTTTTTTTCGTGTCTTGATGTTATGAAGCAATGATATACAGTTTTAGAAAGGTACAGACCTCCTCTTTACAGCAATATTAGTAATCTAGTGATTATTACTTCCACAGCGGTCGTTCAAAGTTAAAAAAATTGTAATTTTTTGAGCTTTTTAGGAAATCATTGAAATTTATCGACGTTTTACTATTGATTAAAAAATTTTTTGTCCGATACATGAAATTTTTAGTTCAAAATAGTTTTATAACATACAAGTCAAGCTAAAGATTGTCTAAGTTGTTGAAGTTATAACGTATTTTGTAAAATGATGCTTATTCAGCTTCTGACATTCGAATTTCCCTTTTTTACACCTACACAGAAATAAATGATGAAGCAGGGCTGGGGTTGAATCCATATCCACGGAATGTTACCAAAATGGTAAAAAACACAAAAAAGGTCTATTTTGTCTTAATTTATATGCTGAATCAAAGTAAACGCTGTACGGGGGAACAGAAATATCTCCAGTCGGTAAAATGCGTTATTGCTTGAGCGACATTGAACTTCCGCTATATTTTCCTGCCCCGTTAGGTAGTTGACAAACGTCATCGGATTTCGTTTCGTACTTTCTTGGTCAGTTGTTCTTTTTGTGCTCTCTCGTATTTTAGAATGACGTTTTTGCTCTAAAGAAAAAACCCAAAATGTGCAATCACTCACCGGATAAGTTTTGCTTTATTTGTAGTTTGTACATATTCAAACAAAGTGCTCGGATAAAAATAACCACAAACATTTTAACATTTAGAGTGCAATGGGGTATAGTCGTTGCGCTGGGTATGCAGTTACAGTTGCATGGCTATACTCAATCCCGACTCTTGGGTCCTCGTTCGCGCACTCTGGGCAACGTGAGCAACCCATGTGCGAGATGCGGTAACCAATCCGAGTGGAACCTTGGGTCACGGCAGAAAGAGAGGGAGCTTCGGTGGGGCCACTCTGACTTATTCGGTTTAAGGGCTCACTGAAGTCTGCAGCGTCTGTTCACCAGTAGGTGTGTCTGCTTGGAGCAAGCGGCTCGCTATATAAACGTGTATTTGGTTGCGAAACCACCCCCGTCCCAGCAATGGGTTGTGCGCTGGGCTTGGGACCCGCCACGTAAAAACCACTTCCAGTGAAGAAGCAAGGCAAAGCCTCGGATGAGACCCCCCCTCATGATGACGACCACGGCAAACGTTTAAAGGACTACGATTTGAGGGCATGCACCTGGAATGTCCGGACCCTTAATGGGGAAGGTGCCTCTGCCCGGCTGGTTCATGTCCTCGTAAGGACAAAAGCTGACATCACCGCCATCCAAGAAATGCGTTGGACGGGGCAAGGCAAACAATGTCTGGGGCCTTGCGACGTCTACTACAGCTGCCATGTAAAGGATCGCAAATTCAGAGTTGGATTTGTGGTGGGAGAGAGACTCCGTCGCCGAGTACTGTCGTTCACCCCGGTGGACGAGCGTCTAGCCACAATCCGCATCAAAGCGAGATTCTTCAACATCTCGCCCATCTGCGCCCATGCGCCGACGGAAGAGAAGGATGAGGCATCCAAGGATCTCTTCTATGAGCGCTTGGAGCGCACGTACGAGCGCTGCCCCCGTCATGATATCAAAATCGTGCTTGGCGACTTCAGTGCCAGGGTGGGCGAGGAAGGGATCTTTGGAACCACCGTCGGAAAATTCAGCCTCCACGACGAAACGTCTGACAACGGATTGAGGCTGATCGACTTCGCCGGGGCCCGAAACATGGTAGTACTAGGTTCAAGCATAAAAAGATCCATCAAGCTACGTGGCTGTCTCCGGATCGAAAAACGAGAAACCAAATCGATCATGTGGTGATAGACGGAAGGCACGCTTCCAGTGTTTTAGACGTACGCACACTCCGAGGCCCAAACATCGACTCGGACCACTATCTTGTTACAGCCAAGATACGCACCCGCCTCTGTGCAGCAAAAAATGTGCGCCCAAATATGCATGGAAAGCTTAACGTCGAAAAGCTGCAATCACAACAGAGAGCCAGCGCTTTCACTACTCGACTCTCACACCTGCTCTCAGAGAGCACGCTTCAACAAACCGACATATGCGAGCAGTGGAACCACATTTCCCGCTCATTAAGTACCGCCGCCGAAGAAGTAGTCGGATTTCAGCGAGCCCGAAAGAATAACTGGTACGATGAGGAGTGTCAGGAAGCTGCAGAGAAAAAAGAAAAAAAAGGCCGCCTACAGGGCCATGCTGCGATCGGGCGCAACGCGCGCTATGTGGGACCGCTATAGGGATCTGAAGAGGGAAGCGAGACGTGTTTGCCGCAACAAGAAGAGAGAGGCCGAAATACGTGAGTGCGAAGAGCTTGAAATGTTGGCCGACAGGAGGAATGCCCGAAAATTTTACCAGAGAGTTAGGCGACTTACGGAAGGTTTAAAGACCGGGGCGCACTCCTGTAAGAACAATAATGGCGACCTAGTAACTGATGTCCAGAGCGTACTTAAATTATGGAGGGAACACTTTTCCGCCCTACTAAATGTTAGCAGAACGGAAAGTTGTGGAGAAGAAGAACCCGAGCCCGCAGTTGATGACGACGGAGTCGACGTTCCACCGCCTGACTATGACGAGGTACGTATAGCAATAACGCGGCTGTAAAACAACAAAGCCGCTGGAGCTGACAGCCTGCCAGCTGAGCTATTCAAGTACGGCGGCGAGGAGTTGATAAGGTGCATGCATCAACTCTTGTGCAGAATATGGTTAGATGAACGCATGCCCGACGACTGGAATTTAAGTGTGCTCTGCCCAATCCACAAGAAAGGTGACCCCGCCATTCGCGCCAACTACCGCGGGACCAGCCCTCTAAGCATAGGTTACAAGGTCTTATCGAGCGTATTGTGTGAAAGACTGAAGCCCACCGTCAATGAGCTGATTGGGCCTTATCAGTGTGGCTTTAGACCTGGCAAATCCACCATAGACAAGGTATTCACAATACGCCAAATCTTGGAAAGGACCCGCGAGAAAAGGATCGACACTCACCACCTATTTGTCGACTTTAAAGCCGCTTTTGACAGCACTGAAAGGAGTTGCCTATAAGCCCCTAAGTCTGAATTTGGCATCCCCTCAAAACTCATACGGCTGTGTAAAATGACGTTGAGCAATACCACCAGCTCCGTCAGAATTGGGAAAGACCTCTCCGAGCCGTTCGCCACAATACGGGGTTTCAGACTGGGCGGCTCCCGTTCATGTGATTTCTTTAATCTGATGTTGGAGAAGATAATAAGAGCTGCAGAACTGAACCGCTCAGGAACAATTTACTATAAGAGCGTGCAATTGCTGGCTTATGCCGATGACATCGACATCATCGCTAACAAAAACCGCGAAGTCTGTTCTGCCTTTTCCAAGTTGGATAGGGAAGCAAAGCGAATGGGTCTGGTGGTAAACGAGGACAAGACGAAGTATCTCCTGTCATCAAACAAACAGTCAGCACATTCGCGCCTTGGCACCCACGTCACTGTTGACAGTTACAATTTCGAGAAAGTAGAGAATTTAGTTTACTTGGGAACCAGCATTAACACCGATAATAATGTCAGCATTGAAATCCAACGTGGAATCACTCTTGCCAACAAGTGCTACTTTGGACTGAGTAGGCAATTCAGGAGTAAAGTCCTCTCTCGACGTACGAAAACCGCGCTCTATAAGTCACTCATCATGCCCGTGCTGGTATATGGCGCAGAAGCATGGACAATGACAACATCCGATGAGGCGGCTCTTGGAGTGTTAGAGAGAAAGATTTTGCGGAAGATTTACGGGCCTTTACGCGTTGGCGACGGCGAGTACCACAGAGGATGGAACGATGAGCTGTATGAGCTTTACAACGATATGGACATAGTGCAGCGAATTAAAATACAGCGGCTCCGCTGGCTTGGCCATGTCGTTCGAATGGACACCGACGCTCCAGCTCTAAAAGTATTCAACTCGGAACCCGCTGGTGGTAGCAGAGGAAGAGGGAGGCCCCCACTGCGATGGAAAGATCAGGTGGAGAAGGACTTGGCTTCACTTGGCGTTTCCAATTGGCGTCAGTTGGCACAGAGGAGAAACGACTGGCGTGCTTTGCTGAACTCGGCCAAAATCGCTTAGGCGGTTACAACGCCAAAAAAGAGGAGAACAATATTTTGGAATTCAAGCCAAGAATGCGGATGAACATTGGTCTCCAAACTCTGTATGCGCCACATGTTTTGTACGATTAAGCGCATTCAAGCGCATTTAAGCGCATGGAAGCAAAAACGACCGTAAATTGATTGACAATTTGATGAAAAACTTCAATGCCATTGGTGAGTGTGAAGTAGTTTTAGGTAAAATGTAAGTTTGTGAAAATCCATGCAATTTTCTTTTTGTGAGTTATACCTAAATATCTTCAAGGGTTATACCTTGCATGGATTAAAATAATTTTTTTAAGAAAAAACTATTTAATAATTTACAAAATATTTTATTTATTACAGCTGCTCGAATGTCTCTGAAAATGCACCTGCTCAATAGTCATTTGGACTTTTTTCCACCGAATTTGGGAGCTGAGAGCGACGAACAGGGCGAAAGATTTCACCAGGACAATGCAACTATTTATCAAAAAGCGGTATGAAGGTTTCTGGGATCAGACAATGATAGGCGACTATTGTTGGATGCAACTTCGAGAAGACAGAATGGAACACAAACGAAGAGGTTTGACAGAAAAATCATATTTTCGACCTGAAGTGTGAAAATGTTAGAAACCTCGAATTGCTTGTATTTACGTTATGCGTCATAACTTCTACATTTTTTCTTCCATCGAAGCAATACTTAGCTTAGATTGTATGTGAATTCTCTTCAAATTTCTATCATATACATCTGCATTAAAAATTTGTATCTTATGAAAAAAGGTCAATAAACCTCATTCATTTCCAAAAAAAAGCTCAAAAAATTAAAACGTTTTTTACTTTGAACGGCTGCTGTGAAAGTAATAATCACTAGATTACCAATAATGGCATATTGCTGTAAAGAAGAGGTATGTACCTTTCTAAAAATGTATATCATTGCTTCATAACATTAACGCCCTCGGAGATTTCGGTGAAGAACTAGAATAAGACTCGAAAAACAGTTTTTTTTTACAAAAATCGCAAAAACGCTTCTTGAGAAAAATAAATGAGTGTCATTTTCATTTTCAGCGACCCCAAATTAAGTTAGAAAGCACTTTTTTATCGAGGTCCTTTTTTCGTGTAAACTAGTGTTATCGATCGCGAACGTGAGATAATGTGAGTGAGAATTTTGTTGAAAATAATCTACCAATTAATCCACCAAATCTGGCATCACCATTATTTACAAAATGGGTAATCGTGAAGTAGTTGCTCCGTATTCATTATTTTTTCGAAATAATTGAACAGGTTATGAAACCAGAATCGTGCAGCAACAACCTCGTAGAAGTGGATCCCTAGAAAAGAAGCAAAACATGAGCTACGGAACAATTAAAATCGAACCACTTCGTAAGGACAATTTCGACACGTGGAAAATATGTACATGTCCAAGCACTGTTAATTAAAAATGACTCTTGGAAGTACGTTAAGGGAACAGCTGTAAAATCTACGCAGCAGTGAAGCAGTGAAGCAGTTGCGGAGTGGGAAGAACCCGACGAGAAGGCCAAATCCGATCTCATTTTGTCCATAAGTTCACCAGAATTGCAAAATATAAAAAATTGCGCGAGATTAAAAGATGTTTGGGACAAGTTGCACAATGTATATCAGTCCAGCGGGCCAGCACGACAAGCAACGCTATTGAAGTCGCTCATTTTGTGTAAAATGAGCGATGGCGGCGATATGCGAGATCACACACAGAAATTTTTCGGAATCGTCGACAAGTGGGCGGAGCTGCAGATCACCGTTATTGATGAAATGCTCACCATACTTCTGTTGTATAGCATTCCTAACGAATATGAGACATTCCGAATTGCAAGAGAGTCGCAAGAGAAACTGCCAAATCCCGAAGTTCTAAAAGATAAACTTTAAGAAGAGTTGGAGGTGCGAAAATGACACCCAACTATCGATGCAGAAGGCGCCCTCTACGCCAACAAGAACAACTTTAAGAAAAACAAAAGCAACAGCAGCAATAATGAAAGAAACAGCAAGAATTATAATAGCGACAGCAAGGGCAACAGCAACAGTGGTTTTAAATTTGCATGTCACACGTGTGGAAAAATTGGCCATAAATCCAGAGACTGCAAATCAAAGAATTTTAGCAACCGAAAGCAGCAATCGCCGAATGACATTTCTTGCCAAGTCAATGAATCGGCGTTCTATACATTTTGCGACTCGAAATCCGGAAATGGTGCCTCGATTCGGGGCCATCATCCCACATGTGCACACAGCAAGAAAAGTTCGTTAATTTGGGCACTGCGAACAACAAGTTACTAACATTAGCAAATGACAACTCAATACGCATGGAAGGATGCGGCGAAGTCACAATAAAGCCAAATGCGAAGCTCAATGTAAATTTGAAGCGGTCATTGCTCGTTCCCGACCTGAGAACAAATTTGCTATCAGTATCCAAGATTACCGGTAATGGCCTCGAAGTCACATTTAAGAATAAATGTCTAGTTGTATTCAACCCGAACACAGGCGCCGAAGTATTCATAGCGCAACGCGAAAATGACCTTTACTACGTGGGAGATGCAACCGAAACAACCGCGTTAGTGAAACCGAAAGAGCATTCTCTACAGGATTGGCATGAAATATTTGGTCATCTTAACGAAAATGAATTGAAGTGTATTATCAGCAAGAACTTGCCAATCGGTATACAAACGAACCCATCTACATATTTACAAACGTGCAAAGTTTGCATTCAGGGAAAGCAAACACAGAATTCGAAACATACATCGTTTCATTCAAATTCAACATGACCGAATACAAGAATGTAAGCACCCCCGCAAATTCAAGCGTGACAATAAGCAAGGACATGTCCCCGTCCACCGAAGAAGAAAAATAATTCGAAAAACTACCGTACCAGAACCTTGTCGGATCGCTCATCACACCGTCAGTGTTTTGAGCCAGTTCAACACCAACTATGGCAAAGCGCTCTGGATAGTAGCAAAGCTAGTTTTGCGATATCTTAAGCATACCAAAGATTTAAGCATAGTATTCGTGGCTTCGCAACAAGACTTAGAAGGTTACGAAGACGCTGACTGGGGTTCCAACATCGATGACCGAAAATCATACACCGTTTTTGCATTCAAATATGCAAACACATGTATCAGTTGGGAGTCCCGAAAGCGAAACCGCGGTACCGAAGCCGAGTATATGGCTTTGTCCGACTCCGCAAAGGAGGCCATATATTTGAAACGCTTCTTCTATGAGTTACTGGGCCAAGGCCAGCGGCGGATCCAGAGTTTTCCAAAGGGGGGTTTTGCGGGAAATTTTGCCCCTTGTTATAATTACCTTAAACGAGCAATTTTTCTGTATATGTGTATATATCCATAAGTTTCTCGGCAACGGCTCTAACGTAGCAAAATGAAAAATCGTTTAAAAAAGACTTTCGAAGTTGTATTTCTTCCAATTGTCAAAAACTTTTTATTTGTCACCGTAATACCGTAAAAATTATTTGTATCGTGCGAATATCTATAGAAATTAATTAGACGACGCTTTAAATGAATTTGAAGAAATGCGACAAGATGCAGAAAAAACTTTCATTTGCTTTTCGAACACGTAGAAGAAGTATGCACCAACCTAGGTACAGAAATCAAAGTACCGCGATACAGCAGTCGCCAAAAGAATCGCTTTAATGTGAAAACCGGAGACGCCGAGGCATACTATCGCATTGCTTTTTACATTCCCTTCCTTGATACATATATTGCTCGTTTGAAAAGCCGGTTTCTAAACCATAAATCAGTTTTAAATAATTTTAGTGTTTTGTTTTCAAAGTATGATTTTAATGAAAATCGAATTGTTTGCTTTCTATGAAAAAGTAATCGACTGCTCGAAACAAAACTTTCTTCTGGAGGTAAAAATATGGAAAAAA